AACGAGTTCGAGTATTCCTATAGACGACGCCAATTATAGGGAGATGGTTTTAAAATACTCCTTCAATCCAAACAAGCCCTTGTAAGATCTTCTTAGCTATCACTTGAAACAAAAATAAAACTCTGATGGTGTTGGAATTAACACTCTGACGAGCAAGTTAATCTCTGTAAAAAGATTAGTGTTTTTCTTTGGTTTCTTAAGGTACAAGTTTTTTAGCACTTGCCTACTCTTTCAGCCTCTCTTTTCTTTTTATAAAGTCATTCTCCTTGATATTCTCTCTATGCAACTTAGCCCTCTATCATCACTCTGTTAAGGCCCATCTCCTTACTATACTTTTTCGAAAAGAACAGCCTGATCCCATGTAATGGATCTATGCTGACTTACCTGATATACTTAGCTCTGACGTACGACACAAGTACCCTTAACTCAGCATTTTTCTTCATTGTCTTTCATGTCTATTCGGCAATGACTTTCAGTCCAGTGGACTTTGGCTTCATGCGACCCATCTTAGATGGCCCAATTTGTGTATGTGTTTGATCATTGCACAGGATTTGTGGATCTAGTATGGACATCCAAGTGTTTGTTGAAATGGCTCTAAACTAGAATTAGAGAAGATTAGAACAAATAGAGAAAGAGAGGAAAAAAAGACTATCAACAGATAGTGGATCCAAAAAATATGAATAGATATTTTTAACAGATAGGGAAAAAAATTAAATAGATAAAAAAACATTTGGACAGAAAATTTGTATAGACAAAAATTTGAACACAGATAAAATTTAAACAGATAAATAAAAAAATTTGAACATATAGCTTAAAAAATTTGGATAGAACATTTGTACAAATAAAAAAATTTAACAAATAAATTTTGGACAAATAAATAAAAAATTTGGATAGAACATTTGTACAGAAAAAATTGAACAGATAAATTTCGTACAGATAGATAAAAAAAATTAGACAAATAAAATTTGAATAGATAAATCAGACTAGGAGGGAAAAAAATTAAACGAAAAATCAAAAAATTTGAACAAATAAATAGATATAATCTGAACAGATAAAAAAATTTAAACAGATAAATATAAATTAGAACAAATAGAGAAAGATAGGGGAAAAAGACTATCAACATATAATGGATCCAAAAAAATTGAATAGATATTTTTAATAGAAAGGAAAAAAAACTAAATAGATAAAAAAAATTGTATAGATAAAAATTTAAACACAGATAAAATTTAAATAGATAGATAAAAAAAAATTTGAACATATAGGTTAAAAATTTTGGATAGAACATTTGTACAGATAAAAAAATTAAACAGATAAATTTTGGACAAATAGATAAAAAATTGGACAGATAAAAGTTTTATAGATAAAATTTGAACAGATAAATCAGACAAAGAGAAAAAATTAAACAGATAATCAAAAAATTTGAACAGATAAAATTTTTTTTAACAAATTGATATATATTTGAATAAATGGTAAAAACAAAGTCAACAAATAAATTAAGAGTTAAAATTAGAAATAAAATGTTCTCCAAAATAAACAAAAAGACTTTTTACCAAATAATTTTACAAAGATTTGACCTCTAATCAACAACATATATATATATATATATATATATTGAACCTAATGATTTAAATAATTGTTATAGTGGATTTTTCACTAATAAACTGTTAAAAAAATAGTTTTTTTATTGATAAATCTCATTTAGATGTATTTTAACTCAATAAATCCACTAAGAAAAATTATAACCTAGTTAGTCCCATGTATTTATATGTTTATTCCATGAGATCATTTTTTCCTGATTTATATTATTTGTTGGACTATTATATATTTATACCTATTATTAATAAGTATTACATAGAAAAAAGATATACATATTTTCTTTTTATTACTACATCTATTTTGGTAGTTACCATTATTTATATTTTTCTTTTGATCAGTTTCATTCACATTTGTGGTATTGTTTCATTGTGCTAGGGTTTCAAAACTCTCTATTTGATAGGGTTTATAAATTATAGTTTACACATGGTGGTAAAATAATATTATGTTCCTCCATTGTTACAGTGAAACTTTGTGTTCCTCTATTATGTTCGAAGTTTTGTGTTCGTCCATTATTACTTTGTATTCGAAACTCTATATTTTTCCATTGTTGTAAGTCAAAACTCTATTTATATCTAATCAATTTTGTTACAAATATATTATTCAAAGGTGGATTTGGTTTGATTTGAATTTGTGAAATAGTGAAATTTATAGATTGTTAATGATAGTGATAATGATGAAGATGATAATGAAGATGAGAATGTGAATGATTTTTTTTGTTTTAAGAGTGATTGAGTTTTTTTTAGATTTCTAATTATATTGCTGCCATAGTTTCTATTTTTTCGTCAATTAGTGTAAATGTTTACATTTCACATTATTTGAAAGTCTCAGAAATAAATATTGAGATATAAATATATACATAATTATATATTTTGCAAAATGTGAATGGTCACATATTATTAGTTATTTGTTATTATACTTGTTGTTTAAACAATCATTTTTTGTTACCATTAAACAACTGAAATAGTTATTTTTTTCCTTTCGATTTTGTTTCATGTTGCAGTGTGAATATTCATTGGTATGAATTTAATTTTTATAAGATTAGTTGTATGTTAGTTGTAAATTGTGAGCATTCACATTGTATTTTGGTATGAAATTTTTTTTTTTTTTTTTGAAATTTTTTCGAAAGTTGTATTTTGTTATTTTGTTTACCATGCTTGTTCGTTGAACAATTATTTTTGTTACCATTAAACAATAGAAATAGTCGATATTCACTTTTTTTTCAATTTCACTTTTTATTTTCACATTGTAGTGTGAATGTTCACATTGGTATTTTTTTTTTTTTAAACTAGTTATATATTAATTGTAAATTGTGAACATTCACAGTATTTTTGTATAAGTTTCATTTTTTTGAAAGTTAATTGTATGTTTATTGTTTTTGTTACTATGCTTGTTAGTTAAACAATCATTTTTGTTACCATTGAACAATTGAAATAGTCGATTTTTACTTTTTTAATTTTATTTTATATTTTCATGTTGCAGTGTAAATGTTTATATTGGTATAAGTTTTTTTTTAAGGCTAGTTGTATGTTGATTATAAATTGTGAACATTCACATTGTATTTTAATATGAATTTTATTTTTTCGAAAGTTAATTATATGTTTGTTATTTATTATGAACATTCACATGTACTTTTAGTATGTGTTTTGTTTTTTTAAAAGTTAATTGTATGTTTGTTGTTTACTGTGAATATTCACATTGTATTTTAATTTTCATTCAGATTTTTTGTTGCGTTATTTTTAAAATTTTTAAATTATAAAAAGGTTTAAAGTTCATAATTTGAGATTTTTCTCTATAGAATGCGGGAGATATTTTCTCCTTAGAATAAATGAGAGATTTTCTTCATAGAATAAAGGAAAGATTTTTTCTTTAGCATGAGGGAGAGATTTTCTCCATAAAATAAGAAACTATTGTCATGTATCAGTTTCAAAATAGAAACATGTGCAAAAAATTAGAAATGATGATTTGTTCATATTACATTAAACAGGATTTAATGAAATAATCAAAAAAAATATAAGTTAGGCAGAATAAAACACTTAGAAAGAAAATTTATCAAAAAATAACCCCCCAAAAAAATTACTTATCAAGTGGATTAAAAAAAAATAGGGAAAATCGGTCTAGGGTCCCTCTCCCACTTTTCGTAATGGAAGACATCCACAAAATTATTTTTTGATGTCTAAGGTCCCTTAACATATATGAGTCTTTGGACTGAAATTTCTCTGGACTAAATTTCTCTGGACCAAATTTCTCTGGGCCAGAATTTCTCTAGACTGAAATTTCTCTGGACCAAATTTCTCTGGGCCAGAATTTCTCTAGACTGAAATTTCTCTGGACCAAATTTCTCTGGGCCAGAATTTCTCTGGACTGAAATTTCTCTGGACCAAATTTCTATGGGCCAGAATTTCTCTGGACTGAAATTTCTCTGGACCAAATTTCTCTGGGCCAGAATTTCTCTGGACCAATTTTCTTTGGACTGAAATTTCTCTGGACTGAAATTTCTCTGGACTAATTTTCTCTGGACTGAAATTTCTTTGGATTGAAATTTCTCTGGATCAAGGTTGAGGGACCTTAGACATTATGAAAATATTGTTGATGGACCTTAGACATTATGAAAATATTGGGTGTCCTTTATGCTATAAAATCATAATACCAGGGACCTGAAAAAAAATACCCCAAAAAAATAATCACTTTGCTTATTTTTGGTTTTCAGAATTTACTTTTCAAAAAATTATTCTTTTTTGTTTTTGATATTTTTTTGTTTTTACTGAATTTTTTTAATTATTTAAATAAAATATACATAACATAAATACATTTAAAAAGTATAATTTTTCTGAAAAAAATCTTTAAAAAATTCACTAAACACTAAAAATATTGAAAAAAAATTAAAAATTCAATATATTTTTCGTATTTTTGTGTATTTATTAATTTTTTAAAATATTTTTTCGCAAATGTTTTATTTTTTAAATATATTTAAATAAGGTACACTTAAAAAAATAAAATAAATTATTTGAAATTTTTAAAATATATACTGAAAATAAAAATATAAAAAAAAATTAATTTCTAAAAAATGGAATTGAAAAAATTGAAATCAAATCCTCTGAATAATTCCCAAACAAGACGTGCAAACTCAAGTCCGGGAGAAAAGACGAGTTACCGTCAGACAACCCAGCCGAGACATCCGCAAAAACACAACCCCTGACAGGTCGATCCATGTGGGGGACTCACAGTCAATTTTAAAATCTTGATTTATCTTCTAAATTATTAATTAATAAATTAATTTCAAATTTATCAATCAAATTAGTAGTGCTAATAATTAGATATCGATTCACACAACACAACAAGAAATATCCTCTGATTGCTTCATTTCCAAAACAACACAAACACTCCATAACATAAATAAATACCCCTCCTCCTCCTCTAAGAAGAGACACAACCGTTTTTAGAGAGAGAAAGAGAAAGTTGGGGAAAATGGCAAGCGGTGGTTATGGTGATGCGAACCAGAAGATCGACTACGTTTTCAAGGTGGTGCTGATCGGCGATTCCGCCGTCGGCAAGTCTCAGATTCTTGCTCGGTTCGCTCGGAACGAGTTCAGTTTGGACTCCAAGGCTACTATTGGTGTTGAGTTCCAGACTCGAACCCTAGTCATCGAGCACAAGTCCGTCAAAGCTCAGATCTGGGACACTGCCGGCCAAGAACGGTATAAATATACTATTCTCTCGATTTATATACGCATTATTATAATCTGATCTAGGTTTGCTCTGTTATGCGGTGTTAATTATCAAGTTATTTATTTCTACTGGATGATTTTCTATGCTATTCTTATGTTTTGAGTTCTATTTTCAGTTGTGATTTTGATTGCTATTATTAATAAACGTACAATAAACAATCTCCTGTGATCTCTATTCTGTGTGACACGATTTCTGATTAACGATATTCTTCTTGTTACTCTCTACATGAAATGAAATTAAATGAAATCTTGCTAATTCACGCACAATTTTTCACTGTATTTCCAATTGCTGAAACAGCGGTTTCCGATTGACATTGACTCTGTACAAAATTTCTGTCTCCATGTCCGATTTGAATTTTGAAATCTTGTGTGGCTACTCTTGATCTTTTCCAATTTCCATTTCCATGCACATTTGCTGTCTAATTTTACTTTTTAGATATTTTATCTCAATTTGTTGAAATGATCTCCCGTTAAGTAAACAGTATGGTTCCTTGTGCTCTAATTAGTGTTAGATTATTATCCCTCCAATTTCTGCATAGGGTGTTTGGTTTGAACTAGAGACCTTCTTTACTGTCAAGGATTTGAAGCATGTATTGGTAACACCTTCATGATTGGATATTACTTGTCGAGCCAAAAAACAAGGGTAGCACCTTTTAGTTTGAATTATAAGTTAAATATTGTTTTATTGAGCTATTGTAGTTGATAATAGTTAAATGATGCTTTTGTACATTTAATTTAAATATTTTTATTATACTTTGAATACTTTTGTTATGAAAATATTTAGCCATGCTAAACACATTTGAAAGAAGGTTGTGAAATAGGGTTTATTTCATTATTTTTGTTTAATTTGTAAAAATATTCTTGGGGTATTTGGGTTAAGGGTAAATTATCAGTAGGTCTTAATAGTTTGACTTAAGTCCTATCAAGTCCTATTGGAAATAATTCTAATAAAATCGTCGTTAAAAATAATTTTTTTTATGACGATTTTTTACGTATGTTGCAAAAATTGACAATTAGTGATTTTTTTTTTTTGTCTCGATTTTTATAAATTGTTGCTAAAACTTACAATTAGTGATATTTTTCTATAACAAGTTTTTAAACTGTAGTTGAAAGTTGTAAATTAGTGACTTTTTTGTGGTGATTTTTTTGAGTTGTCGCTAAAACTTATAATTAGTGACATTTTTTGTGACAAAATTTTCAAACTGTCACTGAAAATTAACAATTAGTGACATTTTTTAATAGTGTTTAATGAAAAATATCATTAATTATCATAGAACCTATTGAACAATAAATCCACTTATTAAGACATATACGTAAGTCCCCTTTGATTATTTATTCAAAGTTCTGTTGTTCATTTCGATTAAGCTTCAACCCCCAACTACTTTTTGAACAATTGCATTAATGGGCAATATTGTCTGTTAAATTGTGGGGCATCATGTTTTTCATCAGCATCAGACCTTTTTTCTCCCTTTATTTTGTTTATGTCGCATCTAGAAATTAAGAAGCACAGCCACTTTTGAGCAGATGCGTGTCCTTGGTAGAAGCTTTCTGACGTTTTGGACACTTCAAAACTTGTCCTAATATTTTTAAATTTTTATCACCCCGAGCACACTTTGGACACTTGGAGAACACATTTTTATTGCTTAATCACACATTAAACTTGTTGCAAGTTTGAATTAATTAACTTAGGCTATAATGATAAAAGAAAAAAAATGTAGATTTATACTTATTAATCTATCCTCCTTTAAACTTTAAAAATTAGTGCTATGTTTTATTTTTATTATTTTTTATTAAGTATTCATATGTATAACATAATAAATATATTAAACAATATACTTTGCGCCCTCCATGTGTCATGAAAATTGTTGCGTTGGCATGTCTCATCTCCGTCTTTTTTAGCTATTTTTTTAATCAAATCACTCACCATTGGTTTCGTCTTTGTTTTTGTTGCATATTATTAAAACATCTTACATACATTATCCCTTCTCCTCATCTTGTCTTGAATTAAAACACCCAAGTTCCAATTATGGCTTACCCCAACCCATCCTACGAATTCAATGGTATCTCATTTTACTAAGATGTGAAGCCTCAAAAGTGAAGGCTTCTTATAAACATTTTAGAAGGGAATGAATATTGTATTCAGTTGAATCATCAACAGCTATATTTGGCTGTATTTGTGATTTCAAAAAATAGCTGGGTTGAAAGAACTAATTGCCTTTTCTGGACTAATTAACCCCCAAAACTATTCACTATGTTTGGTTTGAGTTTTCTGGATTAAGTTTTTTGAAAACTGACTTTTTTGGTTTTTGTGTTTTTTTGTTTTTAGTGAATATTTTTTAAATTTTAAACATTTTTTTTACTTTTTTAGATGCACCTTACTTAGATGTATCTAAAAAGTAAAAAATTTGTGAAAAAATATTTTAAAAAATTAATAAATACATAAAAATACAAAAAATGTACTGAATTCTTGTATTTTTTTTTTTGTATTTTTGGTATTTAGTGAATTTTTAAAAGATTTTTTTTATAATTTTTTTACTTTTTAGGTGTATTTATGTTAGGTGTGTCTAAAAAGTAAAAAAATTCTTTAAAATATTAAAAAAATTCAGTAAAAACAAAAAAACACGGAAAATAAGAGTAAAATTTTCTGAAAAGTGTTTTGGAAAATTGGAAACCAAGCAAGGTGATTAGACTACAATGGCAATAATTATTGCTGTCGGATTGAATCTCATATTGTAAAGAACTTAATGAATCTATTCAAATCATCCGAGAAAAAATCCATGACTCGTTGTTCAGATATGTTTTCAGTGATTTGGTAGCTTTTCAATTTTGATTACCATAAAAATTCCCGTCACCCCAACAAATAAAACAAAAAAAGTGGTTCCCAAAGTCCTTTAAGACTGGTTAAACTAATGGTAAAACTTCCAGAGCTATCAAGAATTCTTTCAATTGTTTACAATTTCTAGAAGCTAGGATGTGTTCAGAAGTTTTAGATGAAATATAAATTGTAAAATGTGAGTGTTGTTAGGTGACTTTTTTTGGTAGATGATCAAAGTTTTGGTTTGGAAAAGGAAAACCACTGATACATTACAAAAGGGGAGGAAAATTTGGAGACAAGGTCAAATAAAATTCTATGAAAGAGATAATAAACAATTGGGAACCATATATTCAAAATATTTAGAAATTCTTTAATGACCATGCTTTGCTTTCACTTTGATCAATAACATATGTTTTCTAGGATGTGGAATCTCTTGGTGAATCAGTGTTGAGTGCTTAAAAAAAACTTTATTACTATCCTACATTTTCACACTTTAGATTCTTTAGCTATCCTAAATTTTATTACTAGCCTAATTGGGAACACTTTATTTTCATCTGCAACTTTTAGGTTAATTGGGATTGATATGCTTCTTTTAACAATTGTTCTGTCAGTAGAGTTAAATGTAATTGTGTAAAACAATGATACAAGAGCGGAACAATGTGAACAAGCTCATGCTTACAGTTCCTAAAATCATATTAAATGGGCAACTGAATATTTCGCCCTCCATTTTGTATGATGAGCAGATATAGGGCGGTTACTAGTGCATATTACAGAGGTGCTGTTGGGGCTATGTTGGTTTACGACATAACCAAACGCCAGACCTTCGATCACATACCCCGTTGGCTAGAAGAGTTGCGTGCCCATGCTGACAAGAACATCGTCATCATACTGATTGGAAACAAAACTGATCTTGAAGACCAACGAGCAGTCCCCACCGAGGATGCCAAGGAATTTGCGGAGAAGGAAGGGTTGTTCTTCTTGGAGACCTCAGCACTGGATTCAACAAATGTTGAGAATGCATTCATGACTGTGTTGACAGAGATCTTCAACATTGTGAATAGGAAGAACCTTGTCGCAGGTGAGGATCATGCTAACGGCAACCCTGCAAACCTGTCTGGCAAGAAGATTTTAATCCCAGGCCCGGCTCAAGAAATCCCTGTTAAGAGCAGGATGTGTTGTACATCATCGTGATTTGTTTTTGGGGTTTCCAGATTTGTTTGGACGTTTGTTTCATGTTTCCTAGTAAGTATTTTTTTGGATGTCTGATATATGTTTGTTGTTATATATATCTTTTATTTACTATATAGCTTAGTGTGCAATGAGGAATTGGTTATTGTTTTGAACGGGGAAGAGATGATGAGACTGGTTGCAGATTGTTTTTTTTTTTTGTTTTTTCTGATTCAAATTTTATGTTTTATGGTCGTATGAATTTATTCTCAACAGTTAGGATCCTTCTCTTTGACCCAAGTAATGTGATTTTTGAGACTAATGACATTCGCCTAAATAGTTCAAGGTTCCAATTTAATTGATGTAATCCACGGAGTGGTGTAAAGGATTTAGGTCTTCAATGTATCATTAGGTTTTGTTTAGATCAATAATTTGACTGGAGATTTGTGGAAGAAAAAACATATGAAAAGTGAAAACTTGAGTGTATGAAATCCTTTAACAGAGGGTTTTTTGTTTGTTTTTTTTTTTCCCTGGAGTCGTGTAAAGGGTTTAGTCTTGAATGTATTGGTAGGTTTTGTTTACATCAATAATTTGACTGGAGATTTGTGGAAGAAAAAAAAATGAAAAGTGAATAAGTGAACGAAATCCTTGAATAAAGGGGGGTTTTTTTTTTATTATTATTATTTTTAATTCTTCATTCAAAGAGAACTTTAATTCCTTAGATTTAAACACAATCCTAATGTTTAAATTGAATTTTTTGGGTACTTAGGTGTAGGTGCTAATAGGTATATTTATTGTTCAATAAGCCTTGTGATAATTAATGGTATTTTTCATTAATTATTATAAAAAATCTTTAATTGTTAATTTTCAACGACAGTTTAAAAATTGTCACAAAAAAGTCCCTAATTATAAATTCTAGCTACAATTTTAAGTCATAAAAAAAATAACTAATTTTTAACTTTCAGTGACAATTTTAAAAAATTGTCACAGAAAAACGTCAAATTATAAATTTTAGTGACAATTTATAGTCGTGACAAAAAATCACTAATTGTTAATTTTTAAAAACATGTAAAAAATCGTCACAAAATTATTTTTAACAACGATTTTACTATAAGAAATAAGTCTACTACTAATACCTATTGATAGTTTATCTTTATTTTATTTTATTTTTATTTAGTGTAAGAAATGTAATGGCAAAGCCATCAAAACAATGAACTGAGATGGCTCTATTTAGGATGGCTCAATTGTTGTCGGCCTAATGGTGGCCCAATTAGAGTTGGGCTAAATTGTGAAATGCTTAATATTCACAATTTAAAATCTACAATTTATAATAAAAAAAACAGTTCCAGTTGGTAGCTCGAAATTAGTATGGCTTGAATGGCCCGACACCAAAACGACGTCATTTTGGCTTTGAAGAAAAAGAAGAAGAGAAGAAGGAGCCGGGTTTCATCACACATCATCATCGTCAAAAGGAGCTGGGTTTCATCAACACATCACCATCATCAACATCTTCATCAACACAACATCATCATCAACAAATTTTTTTTTTTTTTTTCCTTCATCTTCAGATCCAGATCAACTAAAAAAAAAAGTAGAGAAAACAGAATTTGAAATCAGCATCTTCATCAACACATCATCATCAACAAAAATTTTTTTTTTTTCCCCTCATCTTCAAACCCAGATCAACTAAAAAAAAAAAGAAAAAAAAAGTAGTCTGAAAGAGGCGATTGGCGCCACCACGGCAGAGAGAGAGAGAGACGCTTCCTTCTCTTCCTCCACCCTTCCTTCTCTTCCTCCTCTCTTCTTGCCTCTTCTCTCTTTTGAATTTGAAAGCAAGAAAAAGAAAAAGAAGAAAGCAACAAAAAAAAAAAAAATCCAAAACAACATTGTTGGATATTTGAGTCACTTTCGGGCCAAATTTCTCAAGCTATGAAGTATTATTGTAAAAAAAATTATACTTTACATGATTAAATTAATGATAAATTAAAAATTAATATATTTCCTTCTAGATTAAATTATGGAACATTTTTTAAATGGAGAAACGCTCCAATGTGCAATACACACCATATGAAACTCTACATAAAATTACGTAAATTTTTACAAACTTACATAAATGATCTTACAAAAAAAGAATAAGTTAAATGCATTCGTGTAAGTTCGTAAAAACTTGTATAATTACACAAATTTATGTTCGACTTACACATTTTTATAACATTATTTGCATAAGTTCATAAAAATTTATGTAATTTTATATAAAATTATATATGATATATATTACACACCGAAAAATTTTCTTTTTAGGTGATCTCAATCTTTTTATTTTTGCGTCTTTGGGATGTTCAAACACATAGCTCCAAAACACCCGCAACAAGACAAACAATTACTAGCCATTTAATGCACAGGTTTTTATTTTTACTCTCTCGTTGTTGGAATCCATTCACTGTCACAATCCCTTCAACTAAAGAACAGTTGTGCTAAGTTCTAAACATACAAAAAAAATACCCGTATCTTCAATTGTAAAAATGCGAACATGCATATATTCTGTATTGAAAACGTTTTTTTTCAATACAGAATACACAGGCAGGACTCTCATCTTATGATGCCATAATTTAAAGCCGCAGCTTTTTGCCCAGTGTTTTAATCAGACCATCAGAATATAAGATCATGCTCTCAATAGAGCAGACACCCTGCTTTGCAACAAACATTGTAAAGATGACTTCATTTTCTAAGGAAACATACTACAATTCATTATAAAGGTGTCAAACTAAACTATATTAAGTGTTCTAATTTGTGAGGTTTAAATCACAACAAAATATAAGGGGGGAGATCCCTGGAAAGTCCCAACTCCAATGGAAATGTTTCAGGTTCAACCAACAGTTGCCATTTCGATGGTTTCAGCATCTTCTTTAGATTCAACATCATTTGTTCCGAGTTCTTCAGGATCAGCATCAGAGGGCTTGGTTTCTGGCAATTCAGAGCCATTTTTGGTCTCCATCCACATTGACAGCCTTTCAAGCATTTCCTGACAGTCAATCGCTGTTACCATCACAGATACATTGGTCCTACCTCTCCAGCATCCAATTGCTATTGTTGAAGCATCCACTTTAGGAGGATCTGCTGAACTTTCGCCATCTGCAAAAATGGATAAGGAGCTATAAGGGGTGGATGCACAGTGACCATCATTGATTATATTCCAAAAACTGTTTACACAAACCTTTACGCAAGACCACCACACAACAACCTAACATCAGTTTTGAAGCCTTTTCACCAAATTCAGCATCGACAAAATCTGCAAATTTAATGGTTTTATATTCCAAGAGATGCTTGAAGTCCACCGGGGATGCATGTACGATCTGTTTGGTTATATGTGGAAGAAGCAGTGGCAATCCTTCAGATGATATCCTGAATGCACATGGTGACAATGAACCTTCTTTTGACGATTGCCGTTCCTGAAAAACAAAAAGAAACTGCTAAGATGATGATTCAAAACTTACAATTGATGTGAGGATGTATTCGTGACCAAGCAGGCTGCAAGGAGCTTTAAATTGTTTAGGCGACTAATTCGTTAAGATTTTCATTTAAGTCATCTAATTTACCCAACTAGGTTAAAACATATGTATACACGTTTTGGAGGTGCTCCCACACTGAATTTTTTTAACAAAAGACTCTCACTCCCGCTCCGCTAATTGGTTACTTAGATCACAAGTACTGAATGTGAAATATTTGACTATGAATAATTCTTGAGGCCGAAAAAATGTCAAAACCAGAGATAAATGTAGAAAACTTACAAACATCTTCAGGCCAATGGAAGTTATTTTCAGCTGTTGCCCCCCTTTTAAATTCAGTTCAAGGATGTCTTTAACAGACTTTGATACATAGTAAATTCTCTTCACATGGTTGGTATCACTGTTTCTTGTGACAAGGTGACCACTGAATGGAAAGGATTCATCAATACCATAGAATGTCGTTATACTATCCACTATGTCATTATTCGAGAAGAACACAACTGGGTCGACACCTTTCCACTTGCCTTGACTCTGTAACTTTCTTTTCCCCCCAACTTTCTCAATACCAGTTTCTTTATCAACAGGATCTTGGATCCCCTTTAGTTCAATTTCATCACACATTTTGCTAGGATCAATATCCAAAGCAGATTCCTCCAGTTCATTACCGAGTAAATCTGCATCAGAAGCTGCCAGTAAATCTGCATCAGAAACTGCTTCTGGTAATTGCTCCTCTGTAACATCTGTCAAATTAAATTCCACTCCATTTATATCCTCTTTCACATCCTTTGCTAATTTCTCAGGTCGAGAAGTATTATTCGACTTCAACTTGCCATACAGACTGGTAGGTTTCTTCTGAATAGCTACACAAAGATAAATAGGATAATTATCTTCTGCAGACAGTAGTACCAATAATGTCGAACAAGAGGTGGAAATATATGAAAGGAGCAAGCTGACTATGCATTCGAGCAAAGGACTAAATATGGAAGTCGTAGTTTGGTATCAGCTATCTGAAATGGTCCAGAAAAGGAAGGAAAAAAAACATATATATAGATTGTGGTTGTGTTGAGAATAGCCACTTTATGCAAATTATGCCAAATGTTAGGTCTTTACCCAATTTACCTCTCCCAAACACCCATGCAATGCGGACTAAACTGGGTGTCCTATATATATATGTCCCTGTAAACTGTTATAACTGTGTTGTCTAGACTGTTTAGATTATTGCAATTTTCAAGTTTTACCTGTCCACAAATATGCAAATGCAGTGAATTTTTATCATCATGAAGCCATGCTAAAGTCTAGTAAGCTACATGACTCGCACATTACACCAAAGGCTTGCTATGATGCTATCTTCTTGGTTTGTTAAATTCAACAAATGGAGTCCCTAAAATTCTTCAGAATTATCTAAACAGAATGATGTTTTGAAATACCTGGCAAAGGGGAAAGTTTGTGAAGGACAGCAATAAAAAATGCCCCAGTATTCTGATCATGAGGCACTATTCTCATGCAACGTTCTAAAGGGAGAGTTGAAATTTCCTCGTCCAGAACATCTGTTAGAGCTTCAAGATCCTTCTTTTCTGAATTCTCATCACCACCATTATCATGCCTTTCTCCCAAGTCTGTATGATTATCATTTTCAGAAGTGTCCATGTAGCTTTTGCCAGAAGGAAACATACTGGGAGTGATTCCTGATCTACGAAACTTTGAGACATCTTTGTAAGAAGCTAACCAGATACCCTTATCTCGAACCTGCATGTCCAAGTGAAAGATTAAAAAATCAGATATTAGGAAAACATTGTGACTAAGAACATACTAAATACAATTGAATTGCTTAGTAACATTTTTGGATTGAAATGGCAATCCTTTTCTCCTGCTTTTGCAATTTATATTAACACCGTACTGAAGAAGACAAGACAAATGTATAAACCAAAACAAATGGAATATGAAATCCTTCCTGTTAACATTAAAAATTGAGGCACAAGGGGTAGGCACTTAATCCACTTATGAGATCACATTCTAGTTCATAATCAGCATTGTCAGCCTTTTGACACCAATACACAAACTCCTCAAAAATTGAGGAATCAGATCACCAACATGAATTTTTCATTATCTGATTCTGAATATAAGAAGAAATAAACTGAATAGATCATTTAATGAAAATTACCATATATTGTTTCCACATAGATTTAACATGTAAAAAGCCTTAACCTATATAAACTAGTCATTTTGTGTTATCAAGTGTTACAGAATGATCCATGAAGCTAAACTTTCATTTTGTGTCACACATGCGTTGCCCAATTAGAAGGTAATTAGAATTAGGTATAAGGTCAAAGGTTTAGGGCTTTAGGAATTCAATTAAGGTGAAGGAGGGTAGATGTTTCTGCTGATAATGCATAGGATCCAACAAAATAAACAAAATAGAATATGAAGAAAGAGGCTAGAAACCTTATAGTCAAAAAGGCCTTAAGATCTGTTACCAAAATGAAATAGATGGAGTCTCACCATTGAAACAGAAGAAAATTTTTGTACTGAACAACCTAAGAACCTAGAATACCCCTAGTTTTGCATTATTACAAAAACATTAATGGCTTATCTGATTTTCTGAACTCCGAAGGAGTTAGAATCAATTGGGCCTGACCAAACCCATGCAGAAATAGTATCCAGTCAAGTGTCACCTGCAACAGGGACTACTGGTTTGTTAGTACGGCTCACAAAATAGTTTCTTTTTCCTCCATTTTCAAGCATAGACTTTAACTTGCCACTCTTCATCATTTTCCCCTTATTTTCGTGTTAGCACAAAAAGGGCATAGACAGACATGTATCCCACTAGTTAAATCGTAAGTTAGGTTAAATAGTTATATTTTTATAAATTTTTTAAATATCAAATATATGAATAATTTATTTAAATGCAATGATAAAAAATAAAAAATAAAAAATAAAAAAGGGAACAAAAAGAAGCAACATAATACTAATTAAAATTAAGAAGCCATATATTCTACAGCTTAAACATGAAGATATCATTCACATAACAATTGCATTTAAAAAATGCAAAACAATTGCAGAACACTGAAATACGCATGATGTATTCACCTTATAAATTGTTTAAAACATAAGTACACAAGTTGCATTCTGAAAAATGCAGGATATTGTCAGCTTGTTACTATAAAGAGATTCATTTTCGTAAGGTTCAAGTGTAGCCGAAATGTTCGTAAAGTGTCTGATATTATGAATTTAAATTTTAAATTTTAAATTAAGACGCATTGAAAAAGTGTCGGACACACTTTTAGGAGTATCCACAGAGTGTTGTGTCTGACACGGTTGTCCAACACGACACACTTCCTCCATAGAAGTGTCCATGCTTCGTGAGTTAAATCATCCACAAACATGTGTCATCGGGTAAATTAATTATGACAACCATAAAAAATGCAACCATTATTATAATTAGAAAGCTATAGGAAAGGAAGTTTCGAGTTGCATCAGAACTCAAATTCCTCTCAACTAACCAAGCAAAAGAAGCAAGACACTACATTGTACATGGAATTGCAATTTCAAAGTCCAAGGTCAATACACAAAACAACTTAAACCAGCATGTTGAACCAGTTTAAATAAGCTAATTTACAAATATACAATAATATAGTAATCTAACAAAGTATCTAGCTAAATTAAAAGCAAACCTTCCACTTTTTAAGACCTGGCCTACGAACAAGCTGAGGGAGCTCATTGGAGACATCAAGAAGTTCAACAGACCCACCACATCTCCGCAGAATCTGAAGGAAATGAGAGGTTATGAGCCCATGAAAGGAGCAAGAATTAGAAAGGCAAGTGAAAGTTACATAGCCAAATCTGACCAATGCAAATCAAGAGCATGGACAACATCCAATCACAAAACAAAAAGAAGAAAATTGTCCCTTCTTAAAACGCAGAAGTCTAAAAAATATAAGCACAAAACAATATCGTTTGGAATAGACATGACTTAAAGTTGAAAAGGCTACAAATTCACCGCAAGACTTTTTTTTTCAAGAATTTTTTTTTTTTTTTTTTGATAGAAAAGGTAAGGAGACTCAAACTTGAGTCTCTTTGTTGGGGCAAAGCAACCAAGCAGTTTGGGTGTTCCCTATGGGGCAATTCATTGCAAGATAATTACAAGATTTGGATGTTGAAACAGTTCATGACAAGAGAAATCCAACTCTCTAGGCATTTTCAGGTGCATTATTACCAGACCCTCCTTCATTACTTATGGGATGATGTCAACTGTTCAGGAGAAATTATCAGCAGTAGTCCTGAGAAGGAAATTACTTAGGTAATACTGTTAATTCATATTAATAGTGCAAAGAACTTTATTTTATTATTTTTTGAATCTAGTCTTGATTAGGTCATCTCCATAAGGTCCTACGTAGTATCAAAAATGATATTAACACAATTCCATAACAAACACCAAAAATACTTTGCTTACTTACCTCATTTGTGAAAGGCTTTGAAGCCAGTTTTATGCCTTCAATAAAAATAAGAAGGGGAATTTACATGTTAGTGGGACCTCAAAAATTAATTACAAAGCCATGAAAAAGTTTATGATTTTACTTTTTAATGTTTATAAAATTTCTCACTAATTTGAAAATATTTTTCCAAATGTTCACTGATGTGAAATTACCCCAATAAAAAAAATAATAATAAAGCTGACATGTTTGGCAACCAACTAAAAAAGCTATTTTTGTAATGGCTTTTTTATGTATACATGTTTGGCAACACTAGTTTTTTGGCTTTTGTCCACTCGAAATCCTTTGTCATCCTTTGCCAAATAGGTTGGCCATTTATGAACTTTTGGGCTAAGCCTTAAAAGTCTTAAAAGAATTTCCAAAAGAGACATTTAAAATTTTCATTTTTCAGAAACATAAATAATGAATGAAAAGTGTGAAAACACCAATCGTTTTCAACTTTGCACGAAAGCAAATTTCAAAAATTAAGAAATTTTCAAAAAACTTTGTTGAAAATAGTTTTCAAAAACACTTGACCAAACATTTTTTTTTTTAGTATCAGTTTCCATTTTTTCAGCTTTCAAGAACAAAAAAAGAGAATAAAAACGATACCAAATATGCCCAATCTTAGGACATTACTCTTTTAACGGTGAGAAGAAAAAGCCCTTTTGTTCCGTTCCTTGACATAGAGGCAGTTCATAAGTAACAAAGAAAATGTATCCTGTTTTTTCCATAAGTAATAAAAACAATGTATCCATGATGTTTATACAATGTTTCTTTTATTAAAAGAAGAAATTCATTGTGGTTGTAAGAGATAAGTGCAACTTCAACATAAAGTACATGGATGAAGATGAAAAAGCAAATTGGCAGTAGCAGCTACTAGACAATGTGGCATGGTCAAACACCCTACCCTACTCCGCCCTCTCTTTTCATTAGTCATGAGAACGTTTGGAAGAAGTTAAAAAGAAACCACATTTATTTCTATTCTTAATAAAATCAAAAGTTGAGAAATGATCATAGTTACAGCCTACAAGATTCCTAATAGCTGGCACATTACCTCAGCAACCACAGCTTCATTTTCAACTGGATTCATTGAGCAAGTTGAGTAAACTATTCTTCCACCAACTTTGAGCAAAGATATCCCTGAAATAATCAAATATACAAATGACCAAAAAAAAAAAAGATAATCCCTTATGCGCAAAAGCTTCTAACTTAACTTCCAATAAAAAAAAGCAAATGATTAATTTGGGACAGTCAATTCATCTAGCAACAGTGTCACATGGACTATTCTATTCTCCCCAGTATACCTGTGTACCTATGTCCATCTGATATAAGAAGGGAAAGGGTGGGATATGTGTCCAACCCTCGTACCCAAGTTAGACACTTGATCCTCTAATTTTGTACAATATATGGAGGAAAAGAAGCTCAAATTTGATAATAACTATATATATAGATATATATATTCTAGCCTCTCACGTGGATGCGATATAGAAATCCCATTTTCCCCTAAATTTCATTTAATTTCAAATACATTCCTAAATAATTCTAAATACAATAAACCAAGCCAAAGCCTTGTGTCCCAATTAATTAGGGTCAGCTACATGAATAATTTTTCATCATTTTGCTGTCAATTAGTTAAAAATAACTTTTTTTGTTGCAGTATCTCATGTCAATTTAGGTTTTGCCCTCCCTTTGGCATTTATCACCCATCCTTATCGTTGCTATAAACCAAAAATTATTAAATATTATCCCAATTTTATTAAATGCAAGTGTAAATGATTCTAAAATGTATACGTTCCTAACAAAATAAGGTCTAAAAAATTTAGTTAGACAATAGCAATAATAGTAACTAATAATATTATTTATTAATGTAGTAAAAACAATGCAACACTAATAATTTCCCAAAGAAAATTGTAAAAAGTAAAAACTTTTAGAAAAATTCTAAATTTGTGTCGAAGCAACTTATTGTTTCAATATATTGAGCAGTGATTTGGTGTATTTCACTATGTTTTAGTATATTTTGATGGAAATATTTCAATCCTTTCAACGGAAATTTTTTTAAAAAATTGTTCTTTAATTGTACAAGACTAAACCATCTTATTTTGTTCTCACTCAACTTAATCTTCAATTGGTATTACTCCTATCGTTTCACAAAATTATTAAATTCTAATTCTAACTCTTTTGGTCTTGACACCATCCATATTAGAATCCTCATATCAACTACACTTATTTTATAGATGTTTTCTAGTTGCTCAACATTATATCCTGTAAAGCAATGACGACCTTATAATTGTTCTATAAAATATTTCCCAGAGTTATTCCAAGTATTTCAGCTGGAATAGTCAAGTACAGTTTTGATTTCCTATTCATTCTAGTTGCTCCATTCCAGAGCTGTACTTACTGAAAGCACTCTTATTCAATTTACTAGGACGTGGGTCTCCAAAACTTGGTAAATATTTTCGTGATAATGGAATGCATGCATTAATAATATATGATGGATATAACGAATCAAAATTGTAATAAATTCATCAGGGGATGCATGAAGTGTCAAATTCACGCCAATGCCTCCTTCCTTGCCGCCAATGTACGCTACTTTGCATCAGTGCTGGAAAAGATTGTATTCTTCCTACTGAAACAACAAACACTCTTCCATGGACAAATCCTAAACCCTTGAATCAACTAGTAGATCACCACTTCTTAACGTTTTGTATTACTACTCGAGTGATATGGGAGTTTCTCAGGAAAAGTCTAGCTAACCAAAAGGAAATAGTGAGACTGTAAGATTCTCTAGACACATCTGCCACCCTGGAGAAGGAGCCCGGTGTTTAAATTGTTTAACCGAAAATGAGTTGGAAAGAAGTGGAACGAAAGAAGACAAGTGAAGATCCAAAGAGAAAGGCTTATGACTAAACACTAACTGGAATGAAGCCCAATTGATTCGAGTCGGTTTAACAAACGAAGACTATAGTTTGCGATCAAATCGTAGCAGATTCGAATTTTTTTATACATTTATAAAGTTGTTCAATTGATCCTCCCAGCCGGGGAGCAAATCGAATTAGTTTCCTTAGGTAACCACCGACCTACAATCATCCTTAAATTTCTGTGCTTGGTGTGTCCTTTAGGAAAGGATGAGCCAGTAACACTAGCAAGAGCTCAAGCAGAGAGATTTGAGTTGCTACAACACCTTCCATTTTCTTCTCTGTCCTTTCCTTCATCTCACAACCGAATTTTTTTTGCCCTCTCATCACTTAATACCTCTGTAGTAATCTTTTATTTTTATATATAGGTACCTCTAAATGTCCTTCATTTAACAGTGTCTCAAAACAAATTTTCCACCTCTTTAATCTAATTAGCCTTGACTAACACTCTCAAATCCTCACTTTTTATACACTTGACCTAATTTAAATCTCTTGTTTCTCTTTCTCTCGACCTATGTTACATGCACCATGGATTGTTTCCGTACGTGGAACGGGACTACAATACATCACATGCTCTAAAATGTGGTACAATAAGAGTAGACTTGTGTAGATTGCACCATTAGAAATTAAGGTACTTCTACAGAAATTTTCTTTCAACAACTGCACATCCAATAAAATATATTATTTATTAATCATGTAAAAACTCATTTCTATAAGCATTATGGCTCATTTTTGTAAAAGTTGTCCTACCCAAACTCCACTCCCTAGATTTGAGTTTATTGTTATATTTGATTTTGATATTTTTTCCATAAAAGGAAACCTTTATGAAGATTGTGATCACTATGGATCACTAATTTCACCTTTTTGGAATGAAAATTTACCGTCTTTCGAAACGTGCATTCCAAAAATGTAAATCGCTAAGGTATTAGAGTTTTCTTGTAACATTACACTCAACAAAACAACTCTGTAAACTAATTTAATAAAATATGCAAGTATTTAAATGTTCAAAGTATCTACAAGCTAGTACCCAACTTTTGAATACATACCTCTATATCCTTAAGATTTTGGGTTTAGAGAGTTTTGATGTTTGGACATGACTTCCACCCGATATTCGTATCTGAGTCCATGTAACATGGATTGGAAAATATCAATGGCATCAAAAACTCCTTGTTCTAAGTCATCATAGATGTCATAATTAATATGCAAAATTCACATGTCATATCTTTGAAAAATATACCATTTTCTTAATTTTATATACAAAATAAGAACCTCATATCAGCTTTACCAACTAGAACACAAATAAACCATATAGCTACTTGAATCCCAATATGGTTAGAAAGTAGATAATTCCTGAACACTTGAGAAAGCAAATGAAGATTAGACAGCCATTAAACCCTTGTCATCATTTCTTGTTAAACTATACTACATTTGAAATATCAACCATTAAGGAATAAAAACCACCACACTGCAATGAGTTATGTAGTCTAACAAATTTTAATCAGACTGAGGAATGATCAGCATCACAAATTATATTCAGGAAAGTGGCGGTGGTCAATCAGGCTCAAACTTAGCATAATCTTTCAGTGTCTCAAAAAAATAAATAAATTATCCAAGATAGCGATTTCATAGAAAACACAGTAGAAAACTTCTGATGGAGTTAGTTTGTTTTGTATTTATGCTACTCTTGGCCACCTTGATGAGAGGAAACAAAAATAAAAATGATGAAAGGTACCTCGCATTGCTATCTGAACTTGTAGACCATGGATTCCATTGCCCATTCCTACACTCCTGTATAAGAAATAATGATTAGGTAGCCATGACACAGTTCACAGTTGGAACTAATGACTGAAAAAATCGTAAATGTTGCCAAAAGATTACCATTTTCTCCAGATATCAGGAGCCTTGCGAAGAGTACCATCTCCACTGCAAGGAACATCACACAAGACACGATCAAATAGGAGCTGACTTACACTTGGCTCCATTGCAACTCCATTCTCCAAAGCATTAGCAAAATTCTTGTTTAAGTGACAGCTGGGGAAGTGTTGTGCTTCATGATTTGTGACTATCAAATTGGCAGTGCACATTCTTTTTGTCTGGTGGATAAGAAGATTACATCTCTGGACATCAACGTCATTTGCTACCACCTAAACCATGCAAAATATCAAGTCAAATGTAAATAAGAATTACTGGAATATTTATAACAAGTGAAAGAAATACAACATGCAAGTTGATGAGAGGCTGCAATCTTGCAATGTGTTCCCTATATTTCAGTGTGCAGAAAGATAGATTGGACCAAAAGCAAAACAGAGACTCAAGATATAGTTAGAAGAGTTAGAGAAAGAACAAAACCATTCCACTAGGTAATGACCCAGGCTCAATTGACTCGTATATCATCTCAAGTAATTGGAATGTTTTTGAACCAGGAGCTGCACACACTGCATAAAGCAAAGGCAACAGTCAAAATATATTGGCATCTGTCACACTTTAACAAGTACATATGGCATTTACATTTGGTAATTCCAACACTTTCTTGACTACAACTTCAAAAATTATTTGATTTTTATAATGGATGGGTCTTCAAGAATAAACTGCTACCAGATAATATCATTTATCATTCAACAGGATTCAGTTATAAGCTCTACATGCAAAGAAAGTTGACTAAAATGCAGAAAAAGCAGCTTACTATCAAGAACAAAATGGTCCGGATGTACATCCAAGAATAGTGGTGGTACCTGAGTCAAAAGCACTCATTAGATAGAAAATGAACACTTTACCACTGAAATGTTTCACAAGATTTCCCAATAAATTACATTATAAAAATCCAAGGAGTAATAGACAATATATAAAATTGACCAACCATGCTGACAGCCTCCTGTCTCGTGATGTTTCCAATTTCATTTTCTAGCTTCAAGAACTCATGGAACCTGAAAATGTGAAGTCACAAAAAAAATAATAATAATAATAAATGAGAACAGGTCAACATTGAACCAGTTGTGCTTGCACTATGAATGTGATTTGTTTGCATCATTTGAAAATACACAGGAGTTTCCATGCAAATTATTATATCAAGTCCACATTTAGCAAACTACCTTTTCTAATACTCGTTGTTGGACACACGCACTACATGTGCTACACAAGTTGTGTAATAGTATGGAAGAATAATCCCATTGATGCTTCATTTATTATGATTTTAAATTTTTTTAAGAAAATACATAGGGCCGACGAAAAAGCTACTGTTGGGAGAAGTACCAATGTGGTAGCTTCCCCTCATACCACCATTCTCTCTGCCTCTCTCCCTTCTAAGGTCGTTGGTTGTGTTTACTATGTTCATACCTCTCATTAAATTAGACAGATCTCAAGATCCATTCACGGCGATGGAAAGAACGATCTACCTATGTGTCACCATGTCAATCACCATCCCAAGCTCCAATCACAGATTCTCCAGGTAATGAGTCCTCAGTTACTACTTCTATTATTACTTGTGTTCATATTGTGGATATTCATAGAGTTGATGGTTTACCTTCCTATTGCTCTTATCATTTATCATATATCTATATTTGTATCCGATGATTCCTTATCTCTTTCATACCATCTCTTTGTTTTTACTTTATACTCTATACCTATTCCAAATGGATTGGAAGGAAGCACTCAATAATCCTAGGTGGAAAGAAGCCATAGTAGAGAAGATAAGGGCTTTGAATGGGCTGAGAGTTAGTCTCTCTTCCAATGGGAAAACAAAAAATAAAAATAAAAAAAGGGACAGTGAGTTGCAAATGGGTATTCACTATTAAGCAAAAAGCTAATGGAACAATTGAGAGATATAAGGCAAGACTAGTTGCTAAGGGATTCCCTTATGGTATCAATTATCAAGAAACATTTGCCCCTGTGGCTAAGATAAACTCAATTCGGGATCTTCTTTCTTGTGCAACAAATCTAGGATGACCCATGAAACAACTAGATGTGAAGAATGCATATTAATGGTGATGTGGAGGAAGTGTATATGGATGGTCCCTCCAGGATTCTCTTCTCAAATTATTGATAGAAAGGTTTGTCAGTTAAAAAATGAATTGTATGGATTGAAGCAGTTTCCTAGAACTTCGTTTGATAGGTTGCCTCAGGTTATACTAAGATTTTGGTTATAGGCAAAGCCATGTTGATCATATTATGTTCATCAAAAGGCATGAAAATAAAATTATTGTACTCATTATTTATGTGGATGACATAGCAGTCACCGGTAAGGATGTAGAGGAAGTGTCAACAATCAAAGCTCATCTTTTCAAGGAATTTGAAATTAAAATATTAGGTCAAATAAGATCATCTTTATCTCTTAGAGAAAGTATATTATAGACCTTCTTGAAGAAATAGGCATGTTGGAGGCTTATAGGGAGATTAATATATCTTTTTCATACTGATTGACTTAAGGTGGTTGAGCCATGGACCCATGAGACTGTACTGTGATAATAAAGATGTTATTAACATTGCTCATAATTCAGTTTAACATGATAGAACCAAGCACATTGAGATCGACAGACTTTTTAACAAGGAGAAATTGATTAATGATGTGATTTGTATGCTTTTGTGAAATCAAAAGACTAATTAGTTGATGTATTCACTAATGTTATGTTTGTATCATAGATTTGGGTTGGGAATTGAAAAAGGAAAGGAATAAGGTAGGGGAAATGTGAATGAAATATAAGTTAAATTTTTTTTCCATTTCCCTTTCCAAATCCATGATCCCAAACACAACATAAAGGGTTGAGTAGTAAAGTGCTTCATCCTATTGTGTGCAAGTTGGTAATGAGAGATACGCACCAACTTGAGGAGAAGGGTTAAGTTGTGAGCACTTTCGTATTTATCTTCCAATTAGTATAAATATATGTGACAAGAGCGGAAAACACCAATTTTTAGTCTCTTCTTTGCAAATTATTTTTTGTACTTCGTCTTTCTTTCTTTTCTTCTCTCCACTTTATATTCACCCTACACTTCTAACACATGGACACACATTACATTTCATTTCAAATAATTTACAGTAAATTACAAATACACATCCTAAGGTTTGCTTAAAATACAAATTGCCCCTTGTGGTTCCGAAAATTATATCATGGATGCCCCTTCAAATTTCTAATTGCATAACAAATAACCCCTTTCATTAATCAACCATTAAGTCAATTAACAGTTTTTAATGATGTCAACAATATATTTCAATTAACAATTCTAGCAATTTCATTATTGAATAGTAGGATAGTTAGGAATTTCATTTTTCTTTTGTCAACTATGTTAAATGACACATTCTGACAAGGGGTTATCTGTAATTTACGGAACCACAAGAGAAAATTTGTATATTAAGCAAACCTCAAGAAGTGTATTTGCAATTTGCCCAATAATTTAGATAAAAAATGAGCCGTTGGCATACCATCATCCTTATATGTGATCAAATGCCAGTAGAAACTCCAGAAACATGTAAATTAAGAGGCCAGCCCACTACTTGCATGTGTACATACCTTCCAACACCGCCAAACACTCCCCTAACCTAGCAAGATCTTTGGTCATTGTTTTATGTTGAAGATGGCCTATAAAATCATCCACATGACAATACTAAGCACAAACAATAGTCAAATGCATCATTTACCTTTCAAGGGTTTGATTCTTCCTCAGCTGCATGCGAGAAAAATTTGAATGCCAAGCAAGATTCTCAGGGTACCAAGGTAATGGTCTAATTCCCACCACTTCACCCCCATCTGCAGCCTATACATACAGGTATAGAAAAAGATTTTTTTTAAAAATTAAAAATATCCAGCAGTAGCCTCAGAACATTCATAATAGGAGAAAGGAAGAATGCAACTCGTTAACCTCAGCCTGGAGGCATTTCATAAAATCATTCTCTAACTGCATTCTAATGTCTCCACAAAACTGGCTACTGCAACATTAAACAAAAGAAACAATATGAGCATGTCATTTGAAACAAGCTCAAAATACTTCTCTTACTGCAAGGAAACTTAGTTTTGACACACACATAAATGAAACTAAAATGATTCAAGAACAAAATCTAAAACTGCAAACCAACAAGTAATTAACTTCTGTTGGTAACTGGAATTCCATCTTCTTTATATAGGCAAACTCATAAAGTAAAACTATAACATCAAAGTTCCTTTTATTTCGTTTGAACACGAACTTATATTTCTTTTGTCCTTTTTTCTTTGGAGGTGGGTGGGGATGGGAGGTATTGGAGAGTAAATAGTTAATCCCAACTTGATCTAGATGTGCTCCACAATCAGAACTAAGGTTTTGAGTGGCGAAGGGCTCCCAAGAAGGGTTTTTGTTGTTGCTGCTTTTGTTGTTGCCATTGTCGTCTTGTTCTTGTTCTTGTTCTTGTTGTTGGGAATCAGATCTGCTGTGCTTCCAAACGTTGTCTCTGCTCTCACGAAAGTGTTTCCTCTGAGTACGAGACCTTCCTCTTCCTCCCATTTTTCTCTTCTTTTTGCTTCCTCGGCGCTTGCTTGCTCTGCTACAAACTACACAACCCAACCAGAAACACAGAAAGAGAAGCCTTCGTTAAAGTGGGTTTTTGTTTGTGGCCCATGAACATGTCCAGGAATGTTTCAAATATTAGGGTTTATTTCACAATATCGCCTCCAAACTAGCCCTTTTTTTCCTTTTTCTTTTTTTTTTTTAAATTTCATTTTTAACTTATGACAAAATTTTATAATACACTCCTCAAAAAAATAAATATATATCTAATTACAACTTTTATAGTCTTTGATTATGACATGTTTATTATGACATAACTCATTATCATGGGCGGAGCCACAATTCTTAATTCTTTCTAATAAATTTTAAATTTTGTTCCAAATGTTTGATATTTTTACCAATTGACTCTAAGGCTGAGTAAAGAATCTGTTAAATCTGTAATTCGATTCAGCCCAGTCCGATCCAGTCCAGTCCAATCTGATAGGTTTTGATTGGTTTTTCGAATCCGTAGTTCAATTTCGAATTGAAGAATTAAAAATCTGTAATCCATGGATTGGTTTTGGATTGAACCCCATAGTTCTAGATTGGAACCGATCCAAACCGTATACAAATAGTCCATATTTTTATTATACGTCTTCCTCCATAGTATCATCTCTTATTCTATATAAAACATAAACTCAAACCTAAACTCGTATAATATCTTTTTTTATTACCTTTGTTTGTTGGTTTTTAGTTTTAATTTGTAATGGTCTAAATGCTTATGGTGAAACCAATTTTCTTATAGTTGTTTAAATTCTAGAACAGTATATTGCTATTATAAAAAAACATGTTGCTATTGTGGAACTAATATAGCACTATATTTATATTTTTATGAAATTAAAGTGTTATATATATATATTCTTTTTGTTATTTAATTATGTGAATTCGTGATCCTAAACCGATCTAATCCGTGTTTAAATGGATTGGTTCCATGGTTTAAACGGATTGGATTGGTTCCAATTTTTCAAAAACCGTAGATAACGGATTAGTCCTAATTTTACCTTAATCCGGTCAAATCCGAACCATGCTCACTCCTAATTGACTCAATGGAATTAAGTCTTTTTTTTTTTTTTGAAATTTCACAAATTCAACTCAATGAAAAGAAGGGAAAAAAATTAGTGTTCTCACTCTGCCTCGTTCTAATTACACTTTAAAATTTATCTTACGCATAATTTTTAGTGTACATTTAAGTACAAATTTTAAAATATATTTATAAAAAAAGAAACAATGACAATTATTATTATTAATTGTCATTGATTCAACTAGTTACAAACGCAACTGTCAAAAAATATCTTCCTAATGAGTAAATAAAAATCAAATAAGTGATGGTTGGATGAATGATTATTATTTTACTTTTAGTTGAGGTAATAGAATTAATGTGCTAGTTTTATTTTTACATATGATTTGATAAGTTTCAATTACTTTGTTAATGTGATTGAAAATATATAAAAATACAAACGAATTGTGTGAAAGTTGATTTTGATAGGTTATGTAGAACTAAAATCTTAGAGCATCTCCAACGGTAATAGGCATTTTACCTATTTAAACATTACTATAAAGTATATATTTTAGTTTGCCTATCAACTATTTCATGTTTTTACTCCAACCATGCTCTTTATTTTAGCTACTCATCTAAATACTATTAATTTTATAAAATGCCACATCAGCAACAAAGATGGAGGGAAATGATCCTAATGATTAAATACATTTTGCCTAGCCTTGAAGGGTAGCTACATGCAGCTAGTGAATGTGAGTTGAGCTAAAATGCCTAATCATATGCCTAGTGCATTGGAGTTGAAAAAAATGAGTTATACTAGGCATTTTGACTAACAAACATGATATACCTAGTGGGTTGGAGATGCTCTTACATATAGTGATATTGATACTACTTATCAAATGACCCTACTCATATAAATTTTTGACTGTGCAACTTTTCATTATGATATTAATTATGATATATTATAATTGATTCTTTTCATTTTTACTGAGTTAAGACTTATTTATATCTATTATTTGTGTTGATTGCCTCCATAAGTATTTGATCATGTTCATTATCAATGTCTATCGTCACTATCCATCTTCTTCACCACTAATAAATGTATTTAGGTCTCGTTTGGGAACCTTCATTTTCAGTCAAAAAGTTACTAAATTAGTCAAAAAGCCAACAACCCATACAAAAAAGTCAAAGATTCTATTTTCTCTCTACTTTTTGCACATCTTTTCGTAAAAAATCAAAAAGTCATCACAAACATACTATTTTTTTTAGCTCATATTTTAGTCAAATAGCCAAAAAGTTACTAAATTAGTCTGTTCCCAAACGAGGCCTTAGTTTCAGTTTTTTGAATTTAATTTTATAGAAATTGAGTTTTTTGTTTTTCGTATTTTTTGTTTTTAGTAAATATTTTTAAAATGTTAAACAATTTTTTTACATTTTTAGATACACCTTACTTAGATGTGTTTAAATAGTAAAATATTTTTGAAAAAATATTTTAAAAAGTTAATAAATACACAAAAATATATTAAATTTTCTTATGTTTTTTGTATTTTTGGTATTTAGTGAGTTTTTTAAAGATTTTTTTCATAAATATTATACATTTCAAATGTATTTATATTAGGTGTATCTAAAAATTAATTTAAAAATTACTTAAAATATTAAAAAATTCAATAAAAATAAAAAATATATGAAAAACAAAAAAGTAAAAAAAAAATTTGAAAAGTAAATTTTAAAAACTGAAACCAAAAAAAGTGAATAATTTTTCTTCAGGATGTGTGCTCTCACGACAAAAAAAAAAAAAAAAAATGAAAAAAATCAGAGAAAGAAAAAAAAAAAAAAAAAAAAAAAAAGAATGAAAAAGATCAGAGCAAACACCATATTAAGGGTTGTTTGGGAAGAACTATATAAATGTACTTTTTGGCTAAACAAATTAGGGGGGAAAAAAACGAATGTTTGGGATAACTATTTAACTTTTTATAAAAAAAAATGTATATTATAATATTGGGCCAGTTTTTCTCAATAAGTCTTTTGGGCCATCTTTCAACTCTTTATACAATCTATACTTCCCATTCCGCTCACAACCAAGATAAATTCTTGGTTTCTTACAACCGCCACCATAGTCCGACGTCCTTATAATAATGACAAAGCCATGTATCCTTCTAATGTCATGTGTCCAAGTGAACAATTCATCTTCGTTGTCGAAAACCTATATACAATGTCACACAACTTTCATAATAACAAACTAAACAAACAAACTAATACAAATTTATGAACTTACAAATTTTATGTTAAAAATTACATGTTTAGCTGTAAAATGACTAGTACAATCCACCATAATATCCAATCGAACCTTAGGTTCTTCAGTGCATGCCATCTAAAAAGAAGGGGGGAAATTTTAATTCGATTCTATAGAGTTGAAATAAATAAAAAAATTCTGCCATAAAAATACGAAAATAATAACAAATTTTAGACCTCTAATGCCGAAAATATTAATTTTATTCAGAACTCTAAAACCGAAATAAATTAAAAAATTCGTAATTAAAGTAACGAACTATTCATATTATTTCGGTATTTGATTACCGAATTAATTTAACAAATTCAGCACTGCATTTCCGACTAAAAAATGCAAAAAAACAAAAAAAAATACTACACGATTATTCCTTTTCATCACTGATTTTGCTGCCACAATTACTTGAGTTTGAACTTCCATAGGTTTGCAACTCTTCCATATCAAAATCAAGTAAAAATTGTTGAACTAATAATTAAACGATGTTAATAATTGAGTATAAACTTAAAGATTAAAGCAATATGGGAGATGTTTTGTTTGCAAATAGCATAAAGGAGTACAAAGTGTGTAAGAAGCAAAGTGACTACAAAAGAAAAATTAGGGTTTAATTTTTTTGTTTCAAAAAATGTATATTAAGATATTTTTATTTCTAAAACATATGTATAGAGAATTTATATATATAATATTAGAAGTGTTGATCAATAGCTATTATAGTAACTTTTAATTAGGATATAATCATCATTACGTTAATTTTTCATTAAGTGTGTTTTCTGAATTTATCAAGTGAGTGGAAATATTGTTTTCCTCCAAAACAATTATGAATAGTATAAATTTTTTTATTTTTGTAATAACTTTTTAATTTTTTATTCTTTTTAGGTTTACTCAAACACCTATAAGTGCTGTAGTAATAGACCAAGGGAAAAGTTGCAATTGGCCCCTTCACCAAGGTTCAGAAAACTTCCTTATTATCTAAAAAAAAAGTATGATGATAAGCTTGTTTAGTTTCGTGTTTCTGAAAAGAGGTTTTAGAAAATTTTATTTTCTTATTTTTTATATTTTTTATTTTTAATAAATTTTTTTAATATTTAAATATTTTTTTAATTTTTAGATATACTTAACATATATATTTAAAAAGTAAAAAATTTGTGAAAAAAA